CCTGCCTGCCTCTTTCTGTGATCTTCACGCAATCACCGAGACAGCTGTAGTTGTTTCTTGCTTCAAAGGCACACGCACTTTGGCCAACTCGCTCTCTGCGAGCCAAAGCTCCGTTTAATGTACACTTGAGCTTAACGCGCCAGCAAACACCCGCTTTCTCATTCGCCTGATTTGGCAGCAACGCAAAGGATGGCATTTTCCAGTCTCGTGCTGTCACATCTGGCCCTTGCAGAAAACCACACCCTTTCGGTGAAGCCAAAGTGGTTGTTTTGCATCTCTGAATTTCCCTTGTGGGATCCAATAATATCACACAAAGTGGTCATGGCAAACTAGCATTGCTTATCTTTAAGCATAACAACCTTGGGATGGGTTGTATAACACCCCCTTCCTCCCAGGCCCCATGGTTTACGTTAAACAAAACGCTTTCCGCATGCAACATGCTGTGTCTTGTCTCGAGGCGCCGGGGTGTGTCACGCGTGGGCACAGGTGGCCCCAAGCGGCGACGCGCTCGTGCTGAGCAGCTCCACTTTCGAGACGAGGTCAGGTGAAATCAACTGAACGCGTCTGAAAGAACGCCTCCCACCAAAAACATGGCACTTGCTGTGTCAAGTTAAAAGGACACCCTACCATATGTAGACCTGACACCTAACACCTTCTAAAACGTTCACCCATCGCATCCAGAAAGTGCTCCTTCGGTCAGAAATTCAGAACTTCCACCTCTCCTCAGCCACGGAGCTGAGCCGCGCCTGGCGTATGGGACCACGTGTTTGGTTCGCCTCCGACCCTTCCCCTTGCCGGAACCCTCAAAACGCTGTCATTTGTAGAGAGGAACCCTCCAAAAGCCATCATTGGTCGTCATGTGTGGAGGAATCTCAATGTTGGCAAGGACGTAAGAGTCTATGTTGTCCTTAATTAGGCTTGCGTTGGCGCTTGCTACACACAAATCACACAAAGTGCCCATGGCTCCCACCCGCCTTCCTGAGTGGATTGCTCGACTTTTAGCGGGCTAAACGGAAACCTCCAACTAGACCAACTAAAAATCCAAGAAAACCTCAGCGAACCGCCAAGTACAGGATGGTCCGCCAGACAAGTCCAACGCCTCCAACCCCCCCCCCGCACGGACGGCCACCAGAGGCCTGAGGCGACGGCGTGCGCCGTTGCTCCGGACCTGCGGCTCAAGGGAATGAACCACAGGCAACCAGGAAACCAACAAGGTACCCGCCAGGTACCCGCCAGCCCAAAAAAAATCAATTCCACCAGTTGATGAGGACCGAGACCAAACAAACCAATCAACAAAAAGCAAGCCAAACCCCGGTTTTTTGCAATCCAACATCAACCAGTTCACAAAAAACTACGTAGGGGAAACCGTCAAGCAACCAGGCACCAACCAAGACCTGACTAGCAAGCGAGTCGACCATTCAACACCCAATGGTTGCACCGACTTGAATGGTCCATTCACTTCCAATCGAGTGGATCCCAGAAAAGTAGCCAGAAAGATTCATTTCCCACTAACATGGCTAGGCCGTCTAAAGCCCAGGAACTGAAAGAGGGAGTGAGGGCAAGTGTTTGTTCTCACGCAAAACCGAGCAGTCAGCCAATAACTCCGTAGCATCAACCACCCTGCAATCGACCATTGACCAACCGTTCCAACCATAGGGCAACCATGAAATCAATCTCCCTATCATGGCTTGGTCGCTATGAAATCAGATCAAGACACAACCATAGGCCACGCATGTGCGGAGCAAAAGCACAGCTTTTGCCCGCCCAATGATTTAGCATGTTCCACCGCAAGACTCCGTTGTCGTCTGGGCCAGCGGCTGCTAGAATCGCACCGAACGACAGGGCCAGTGACATGGGAGCAGCTTAGAACCCGTGATCGAAGAGACATAGTAAAGCCTTTCCGGGCACATACTTCGGGGGCCTGGACACAAATTTATCCACTCTCAGGATAGTCGCTGCGGTGGGAATCAGTAGTTGTATGGGATTGTATGGGATTGTATGGGATTGTATGGGAGTATGTCTGTTTTTGAGGGCACTGAGTTTGTTCAACTGGTAGATAATCAAATGCACCATTTTGGGGATCTTCTTTTTGACATCCATGGGTCGATTAGCTTTTGTGTTCTGGCTCTGTACCGCAGACCCTCCTTCCATTTCGCGTGCCTCGTGTTGTGCGACGAACGGAGAAGGCTTCATCTGCCAACCTCGACATGTCACGCTGTCACCCGAATGCCTAGGGATGGAGGCAAGTATTCTTAGACACGCAACCTACACGCAGCCTTGCCTTGGAGAGGGTGTTTCTACAAATGTCCCACCCACCTTGCGCGTTTGAAGAGACGTTGGACATCACTTTTGGATGGCAAGCAAAGCCACTGCAAATCATTGCAGGAAATAAACTTTTTCTGCCAAAGCGGGGCTCCCGGGCCCCCAATTCCCTCACTCCCCTCGAAGTTCGCATGAAACCCCAAAAGCGGGGGGGAGGTCCCCCAAAAGGAGTGTTCTCTAGACATGAATCGTTTTGTTTGGGGCGTGAATCTTCAGGGGAGCACCACGGAAAGTAGCATTAGCACTATCCGTCTTTTTTTGCGGGTATCCTTCTCTGCTTTCTTGGTTTTGGGAAAACAACAGGACACCGACCATGTTTTTGGGCGGTTCCCCCATGAGCCAAACCCAATCTTGCGATCTTGGTTGCTGGCGAGAAAACAACCCAACTGTTTCTGCGGTCAACAAACTTGATTTCAACGCAAAAATTCAACGTCTAAAGATCCGATGCCCAGCAATCAAGCCATGGGTGTCTCTTTTGTTAGGGGAAATAAACAGTGTGCTCACCCTTTGGGGTGACGAAAGCATGGTGAAAGGGGAAACTCAGAGGCTTCCAATTTGCTTCAGCCCCTGGAAAATAGAAATCGACTCCCTTCGAAACCCACAGGGAAAAAAACAAAACAACTCCTAAGCACATGGAACAAGGTCAAAGGTCTAACCCAGCAATCAAGCCAACACCGAGTCCCACATCTCGTGGCCCCGGCCTGTTGCACAGGCGCGCGGCCTCGAGTTGCAGATAGTTGCGCTCACGCGCATCGAAAGCGAAACTTGGTCCTACTCCATGACTCCATGGGGGCTCACGCTTGCTTTTTCCTTCATAATGGGGGCCTCACGCCCGTAATTTCTTGTGAGCCCCAACTTTGCTGCTTCATTCTTCCCACTCCAAGACCTTTTGGGCAAAGGTGTCCTTTTAGGGCAAATGGATGGCCCTGGTAGATGATTAAACCACCAGGTAAACCAGGGCCATCTATTTTTCTACCAAAACAACCACAAAGGACACCTATGCTTTTGGGGCTTCGGCTTTCTGCTTGCGTGTGTTCTCCATAAGGAGCTCCCGAGGGGGTTGCCACACATCGTCGCCTGCGACCGCCTCTCGCTGAGCCGCACGCCGAGGTATTCGCTCGCGCGGTCAAGGCCGTGCGGCCGGTCCGGCCTGACGCGATCGCCCCACTTCGGTTCAACAAAGTTCCCCAACCTTGGGGTTCAGGCAGGCCACGACTAAATGGTGGGGCTCATATTTCACCAGTGAATCGTTTGCCTATGAATCGCCATCTAAATTGGGTCAACCATTCCCTAAAGCTAATCCTAAACTTACAAGGAAAAAACATCATTGGGCGTAAGGATTTTGCGCGTTGGCTGTACCCAACCACATTTTCTGACATCTTTGAAGGGGCTTCATCAAGAAGTTCCATAAGTTTGACCCCCCCACGTCTGTCGCCTCCAGGTCACTGATGTATATCGCTTGGCTCACGCGAAGTTTCCATGTCTTGCTCCTCTTGCCTGATGTCCTTTTGAGAAACTTGGAAGCTTCGCTTGGCTCAAAAGCAGTGTTTCCACCTTCTGGAAGGGCGGGTTCTTTGCCAGAGGCTTGCCTATCCCAAGAGAAAGGAAACCCACACGGAAACCGGATGCCCTATTTGAATCAACCCCTCTCCCCCCTCCCCCTGTGGTTGTTCTTTTGGTGGTTGATGCTCAGGAGAGTTTCAAAGTGTGGGGTAGCTGTGGCAAAGCCGAGACACCTCCGGCCCATCGGATAGAAATTCTCCGCACTGCCAGCATGACTCACAAAACGTCGAGTCGGCTAGATGAATGTCTCCTATGTGGAGTCGCCAGTCACCAGTGAAAATGGGATCCATGGAGCTCCATGATCGGTGCGAGATATGCAGGGATTGAGAAGTGGAATGACCGAGATAAACCATCCAACTGGCGGTTTCCTTTGAGGAAACCAGCAGGTTCATTCCCTCATTCCCTACTGAGCAACAGCAAGATATTGGGATTCACCACCTACCCCACTGCAGAGTGTTTGTCCATCCACAGCATACTGCTTGCTCTCTTCGTTGGGAAACTAGCGACATGTGTCTTCTCATCAACATCCAAGGGATTCGTCTCCAATGAAAAGGGAGGCCCTCTCTTTGGGCTGCATCCTGCAGCATTGCAGCACTTCTTTTCGCGGGATACCTTGGGTATTGCGGGCTTGCTCGAGCCGAACATCCTCAGCGCCTTTCAACCTTGGACCTGACTTCTGGAAATGAAACTCCCAGCGCGCTGGGCGCTGGGCAGGCCATCTCTGCCCAGCGGTGATTGCGATGCGCGGGTGCAACTGGTGCATGCTTTGAAAGGCTACCAGACAAGTTTCAACATACATAGCCATACCAACAGAACACATCAGCTTGGGAATTCTCGGTCGCACCCGGTTCGCCTGCGTGTTGCCCAACCGACTAGGTAGCAACGCATCTAACTCCCAAGCAGGAGCCACGAGCCCCGACCAAACGCACTTCAAAACATCAAAGAACCCCAACCCCCGATTTCTGCCAGGGTGCCAATTGTTTTAGCCATGTTTCAAGCTATTGTGGTCAACAATCCATGGCCAGGTGTCCAACTTAAAAGGGGCCATGTTGCAACCGCTGCTCGGACCTCCCGTGAGTTTTCCCACGGGGCATGGCTAGACCATGGGCCCTGCGCTAGAAGCTGGCAGGGTGTCCTTCACAGCCGTCCTCCGCCGAAAGCCACATCCGGTTCAGGAAGTCGAAGTGGAGGTAGAACCTCGGGCGATTCAGAGACCAAAGTGTGGAAGCACATGCTGCCCTTTCATGGGTTTCCCCTTTGAGACACAGAAAATACGTAAGCAAGCCTGAGCAAGTTTGGGTTATCTGAATCTTGGCCCCTGCTAAGGTTCCGTCCTCAATGCCTTCGGATGTGTTTCGCAAAGAACACAGCCGTCGCCCAAGATCTCGATAGACTCGTTGAGCCATTCGACCCCCCAAAAAAGCCGCCAGCCGCCAGTCGGCTCCCTTGCTAGGGCTACCTTGTTCCAACCACGCCGACATGGGTCGCTGCGCAAATGTTCGTTTGACCTTGGTGAATGTTCAACCATAAACCCGAACCTGGGATTTACGCATGTTCAGTGTCCATCATTCAAGTTCAGGACAATCATACAGAACAAAAAGAAGCTATACCCCCAACTCCAAATAAGGGTTGATGTCATATCCCAATCAAAATGGCGAGATTTCATGGGCTTTCAGCCGTGGCGAGCCAAGGCGCCGATGGTGCAACCCGAAAGCCCGGTCTCCAAACTTCGCCTTCACACCTCGGGGTTGACCCAAACGCCCAACCGGAACTTGCTTGGAGTTGCTCCAAGTGCTCCACCCTTCAAAGTACCCTGAAAAATGGAAAACCACCCCATAGTTGGCGGGGCAATAGCCATAATCATTCAGGCTCCCTAATTCATCATTTGGAGCCCTGTTCGGTTGGTGTTCCGGGATGGTCTCCCATGAGCACCAGGCGTCAAATCCCCAAACCAAGCCAAGCCACCAAGGGTTACCTGAATCAGTGTTGAACATATGGGGCTGTTTTTGTTGAAGGGTACCCCTTTTGGTGTGTTCTTGTTTAAGGGACACCAAAAGGAGCACAACCGTTTTGGGGGGTCCGATTAAAAAACCGCCCATATTTCGGGTGATCATGCTTGACTGTTCCCAGTTTGGATGCAGTTTACCTGTCCACCCTTTGAAACAAACAGATGCAACCATTGTTTGAACATGTTGCGTGCCTACCCAACTGGAATTCTAGCAAACACTGCAGCCACTTCCCATGATAGGACTAAAGAAACTCTTAACATTCCAAGACCAGTAAAGCTTTTTGTGTGCATCTCACTCCCTATGCGCCAAACAAGTCCCCGAACTGTACCCCGAACATGGTCCAGGAACTTGGAAGAAACTCAGGGAGTGAGCAAACATCACCGCTCAGGAAAAAATTGGCCCTCCCCTTTTGGATTGAACGTTGAGGGGAACCCAAACTTGCCATGGGGCCAAAATGAATCGGTATGAGCCAAAATACCACCAGAAAGAAAACCACAGCTTTTACTCCATGTTTCCATCTACCAGGGGAAACCATTCTGGGAACTTATTTTTGACCCACGCCAAATCTTTCAGAGCCATGGCCCAGCCTTGGACGCCCTCCTGCGCCCAGCGATCGGCCGTCCGCCAGGTGCGCCCGCTGTCGTGGCCCCAGCCGTCGTATTCCTTGATCTCCTGCGGATTCAGAGGGCACGGCGCCAACGCTCATGGAAGCTAGCCACAAGGACAATTACCCATGTGTTTGTCATGGTGGTCCAAAGGGAAATAAAGAGGAAACCCGCACATGTTGCGGGGTCCAAATCCAAACAAAGTGGAGAGAATTACCAACCATCATGGAAGCTAACTGGAGCCGGAAGACAACTTTCCTTTTGGGGAACCCTTTGTCACTTCCACGGTTGTTGGAAAAAGGATAGCATTCACGACTAGCAATATGGGAAACATTTATCTAGAGTGGACTAATTACATAACTTAGAATGTATGATCTATCGGGAACCAGGTCCAATGTTGCTGTGGAATATGCGATCCTGTTCTCCTTTCTGGCCTACATCCCCATGTATCCCACGTCTGCTTCTGGCCCGGTGATACTGGCTGCCTGACTCAGAGCAATTCGTTTCATAAAACTCTCCAATGAGCCGGCTTACCTGAAATGTCGGTTGCTGCCCGCATCGATACATGGCCCGCTGTGGGTCCATTGAAACGGGCCCATGTTGAACCGGACCGGACACAACAATCGGAGTAGATGTCAGACATCGGCGGCCCCGAGTGGGGGGGTGTTCCTCTTGATGTCTACTTCACCCAAGCTTGAAAAGAGTAGCCTTAACAAAAACACACCCAAAATCTCACATCCAGAGTTGGCCAAGCAAGGTCCGAACTTCTTCCCTCTCACATGGTCTTCTTACCTCACGAGAACTCTTTTGGGCTCCTTCGATGTCCTTTAGGAACTTTCCGTTTGGGCTTCGTGCGGGCTTCTACTCCTCCAAAGAACAATACACACAAAAAAAAAGAAGAGGCAGGTACTCTGTCCTCAGGCGTCCAACCTTCTGGATCTCCTTCTGCCATGCTCAGCTGCAACACGAAGCCCATGCCCCCAGACGCGTGCGGCACCTGCCGGATCTCGCGGCCATGGAAGACGCGGACGTTGTCGGCGTCTGCATCTTGGCTGTAGCCAGGAGTCATGAACATCCTGCAGCGATCCATTTGAGTACCCTCCAATAGCCATGGAAGTGGACAAAGGGGTTTTCTAAAGGGAAAGTCTTCCAAAACCGGCGATCGTGAGCTTCCATGATTGTTGGAGGCAGGGAATGTGTCAAAACAGAATTTGAACCCCTCAATATGGGTGGGCGTTCCTTTTGATCTGTTCCTAAAACCAAAAGAATGTGTGGTTTTCCTCGTGGGTCCCTTGCAAGGTTGCTTGTTTTCCCTAGGGCAGGCTTTTTCCCAGTGCTGGTTTTTGTTTGGGCACCATTTGGCAGATTGGCCGCATCCCCAGCATCGCAAGCCTCACTGAGACCTGTTGAGTGGCCGTTTCGACAAACCCACCCGGCCCAACACCAGCCTGGATGTCTGCCCTTTGCTGAGGCTAAATCAACCCCAAGCCAACCCAAGACCCTCCCTCATTAAGATCAGAGCCAACGTGCAACCCCAGGTCCAAGTGAGGCCGGTGATGCTGAGCGACCAACAAACCATCCAACCGACCAGCTGACTGACCAACTAACCGACACCGACCGACCACCCACCCAAGCAACCAAGCAAGCGAGCAACCCCAAGCAACCAAGCAACCAAGAAAGCAAGCAAGCAGGCAGGCAAGCAAGCAAGCAAGCAACCAAGAAGAACCAGCCCTAGTAACACAACACCACCTCATCTGCCTTGCAACCAACCCCAAAAAGGTTCGGGGGAGGCTCAATGCTGTTGAGGAAGTGGGTCTGAAGCCTCGAAATCCAGCACTGACATCCTACAAGGGGTCAAATCCTCTTAAGACATTTTAAACTTCTTGCCAAGGTGGGGTCTTGCCACCTCCAAATTGAGTTCACAAAAATCCTGCACCTTGGATTGAACATCCAGCAAAGGTGGGTGTGAACACCTACTGATGGACAAAACCCGAATCCGCCAACGAGCTCCCATGGATAAAGCTTTAAAAATGGGATACTGTCTAGACCCTTGCCGGCTCAAAGACTCGTCTCTCGGGGCTCTGCCCGCAAACTCTCTACCTGGAGTCTCCAAATCTAACCCCTTTCAAGATAGGGTCACCCAAAAGAAAAGGGACCCGTCATAGGATTCCATTCCCATCTAGCGAGGACTCCCGGTACCTGGGCTTGAAGGAGTCGAAGACCACCGGCGGCTCTGCAGCACCCTCGGCTACTGAGGCCAAGTGCGCTCTCAACTTCTCCGAGAGCACCAGCTGAAACATCATGCCGCCGCAAAAGTCAAAAGGCGCCTTGGTCGGGAGAAATCCATGCCATGACCGTTTTTTGTTTTTTTAGCTAGCCGCAAAAAGTGGACATCTGCAGTTGCATGATGGTGAATAATTGAATAGGCATTGTATGGAAACATGCCCGCACAGAACACAGCCGGATGCCTGTTCGACTTTTGTATCATACATCACAGCTTGGGGTAAAGCTCATCGCCGCGGTGCTTTGGCATCATGGAGATCCACCAAATACTTCGCCACATCCAGGGGCTGTCCATAAAACTCATCCCGAGCGCTCGGGTCATACAGGTGCTTGGTTCCAGTAGTGGCCGTGGCCGTGGCACGACGTGCCGTTTGGGCTGTCCGCTTGCCAGCGCTAGAGATGAAGTTCATGCTCTGGACCAAGGCAAAGACCACTGCAAGCGCTCCCAGGGTGCGGCCAGAGCGGGAAAGCCGGCGCATCGAAAATTGTGTCTCCATCTGTTAAAACTGCTTAAAGCCAGGATGGCTGCATCATATTGCAGAGCACTGCTGGCCAAGTTGGCTCCGCCGCCGAGCGGGTGCGCGACTTTCTCCACGGAAATCGGGTGCGGTGTGGCTTCAGACGGAAAATTCCGGATAAGATGTAATGTGTTCATGCAAGTCAAGTTTGGCAAGGAGGTGCATTGTAAGATACAGTTTGATTTTGCCAGCGCGCGTCCAAAACTCATCATCATCATCATAGAACCAATGGGCCCGATGAGTCCCATAGCCCTCAATGCACACCAGGCCGTGGACAAATATGAAATTGGATCTTATCTCAAATTCGGGCGGGTCTTAAATTTGGCATCCTTGCAACAAGTGAAAGTCATAATCGAAACCTGGTATAGGACCACGCTGCAAGAAGTAAAAAGGCGGATATCCGCACCCATTTCTGGCAAGGGGATGGTCCCTTGCCCTCCAATTACACGAATCGGTTTTGATTGTGGCTCATGTCATCTTCCCCCACTCTTGGAATGGATGGCTTGATTGTCCCAGATTTGACTAGTCCAGCTTCCTGAGCGGGTTGGCCAAAAAAAAACAATCTCAGCTTGTTGTTTTCCACTAAAATGGTCTCCCTGCAGAGAATAAAGTCCAGAAACTCAGGGAGTGAGCTAGTTCAATGTTTCTTGTTGCAAGTTGGGGCCTGGCTTGGAACAAGAGCATCAAGGTGTCCGATCTGGTATGGTTCAGGCCAACAGGAAATTGGACTCCAGGGTTTGGACGTCTTACAAGCCTACAACTCCTGTAATCATTGCCAAAAGGCTACATCCCTTTTAGAGAAGCCCCCTGTCCACTTCCAACAACCATGTCGGAAAGAGGGTGTAGAGACCACAGGCACACCCATCAACGCTAGGGAGTGCAGGTAAATGCCCCACAGCTTCGGAAGCCGTACTGGGTGCTACACGAAGGGCAGCTTGGAAACCTTGCCATTACATGACAAATATGCACCCACCTGTGGCTTCCTTTAATCTAGGGGTACCTTCTCCATTCCTTCCACCAATCCTTCTTTCTAGAAAACCTCCATCAACCCAGGGCAAAGGTGTTTGAAAAGAACGATGCTTGAAAGTAATGGGGAACCAACCCCGGCTTCCTTTAACGCACATAGCAAAACCTGTCAATAGTTTTGGCACCCCCAACTGTCCGAGAAAAACAATGCCTGAAACTCACACTTCCTCTGTTCCCTTGCCTCCACATCCCCTAAACAATTGAGCAACGCCTTGCTTCCAAACTCCCTTGCCTCAACTTCCTCAACTTCAATGTTCAGTATTCCCCCCAAACAGTCTGAGAAAAACACGACCCAAATCTCAAACATCCACCTTTCCCTTGCATCAAACCCCAAACCCCATCCAACCACAACCCAAACGCAAACCAAAGCCAGCCTTTTTCACCCAACCCATCCAACCCTCAACCCACCGAACCCAAAGCTCAAAACATCCAAAAACGTTGACCTACGGCCCTGCGGCCCAATTCCCATCTTCAAGCCTCCTGGGCTGCTGCCCCGAGGCCCATCCTCGGAGTGAACAAGATGAATCACCCCGTCATTTGGCTGTGGTTCTCAAAAAAAGGTATCCAGAATGGTACCCCCGGTAAATGGAAACAGGGACGATTTATCCTGCGGTCCATATCCTGGTGGTTTAATTTTGACCCATACCCATTTCTGGGCCTCTCTTGAAATTGAGAGCAATGTCCTGGAGTGGACAAATCATATGTGCCGTAGATAAAGGTCTATAAACCAACCCCCGAGGGAGACAGAAGGTAGTGGTTCTCCTTTTGGTTTCCCTTTAAACCCACCGACCGAGAGTAAGACCGGGGAAGCTTCCGGTAGAACCCCAAGCTGGGTGGTTTGCCTTTTGGTTTCCCTTTAAACCCACCCACAAGAAGGTACGCCCTAAAAAAAAGCAAGGAACACACGTTTTTCTAGGGGTTGCTGCCCCATTATTGTCAACCATCGTTCTTAAAAAAACAAGTTTCCTGAAAAGAAGGATGCCTGACTGCAACACTAGAGAATCTTAAACCGTTTGAAGGAGGCGAACAGGGAAACCACATTTGACTTGTTCACGATTTTCAGGATGGGAGCAGGGACAAAGAAACACACACTTTAGGGCTGCCCTCTGTGGATTAAGGGTACTTGTTCGTTTACCTTGGTTGAACGGAACACACTTGGTTCAGTTGCTTCCCCATTTATTTCAACCTTCGCTCTTCAAAAACCAGATGTTTCCCCTGGGTTTTTGATGGTTCCTTGCAAAGAAGGATCCCTGAAAGTAAGATTGGGGAAGCTTAGAACGTGCAACAGCGAATGGCGGTTCTCGGGTCCAATGGAACGCGAATCAATCGGCACCAGTTTGGGATTGGCGGTTTACGAACCATTCAAATTGGGTTTCATCCATACCCACTTTAGGACTTTGTCCATGCACGGAGTAGGATGATAACCACCACGGTACAACCTGAAAACAGCCCAAAAATGGGGTGATATAGTTAGGGCAGGCCATGCGCAACTTTTTCCGGACTCAAAAGTCTAGGGTCTACCCTAGGATTTTTTGCATTTTTTGAATAAGCGCACCAAAACAGCCATTTTAAAACATTTTTTGAAAGAGTCTAAACACATTTTGATAAATATTTTTTTAGTACTGCATACCAAAAACAAATTGAATTATTTTTTGAAAAATTCAATACACCTAAACATGTTTATTTTCAAAAACACACATTTTCCAAAATATTTTAGAAAATATTTTTTTCAAAAGAGATAAATATATATATCATTTTAAGAAGAATTATTCAATAAGAAACAACATTTTCAATAATTCAATGAGAAGACAAATAATTAATCATTTTTCAAATTTTGGATATTCCGGAGTTGCGCATGGCCCACCTTGTAGGATTTTATCTTCAATATATAAAACGCTATACTTACATTATAATTATAACATATAAGGGTATAAATGTTATTATTATAGTATGGTTATAATCTAAATTCAGGATAACTATTTAATTGATATATCTTTCCTCTTTCATACATCATTTTAATAATACTATTAATATCTCTCACTGTATTTTTAACATTAAACTTTTCACTTTCAATAAATAATTTAATGTTTTTTTTACATCAACCCCTTCCATTTTATGATAAATCAATGCCCATAATATGTAGTCAATAATTTCATACTTTTTCTTACTGATTTTAAGAAATGCTTTAACATAATCATAAGGCGGTATTTCATACACAGTTAAAAATATCAAAATGTCATCTTCAACATTTCTTTCATTAAACCTTTTAATATCTAAATTATATTCGATTGCGTCTTGGTAATATCTCCATTTTTTACATGTTCTGCATATATTTTCTTTACCCAAAGAATAATCAACAATATTATTAACTATTCCATTAGGTAAATTTAATTTATATAATTCCATATTTTCCTCTTTGAAGTGGCAACAGTCATAGCATTTCTTATTGATATAATTATTGATTTCGGTTTCCGCCATTACACACTATATAATAATATATAGCTTTTATTTCTTTAAATACTTTTTTCCAAGAAATAAAATTAAATATTGAAATATAAGTATAACATATAATATTTTACATGTTATTATTATATTATGATTATAATTTCAGTACAGGATAATAATTTAATTGATTTGTCTTACTTCTTTCATACATCATTTTAAAAATAATATTAATATCTCTCAATGTATTTTGAACATTAAAATTTTTACTTTCAATAAATAATTTGATATTTTCTTTAACATCTTGTCCTTTCTCTTGACTATAACACAACATCCTTAATATATCATCAATCATACCATATTTTTTCTTAGGGATTTTAAGAAACTGTTTAATATAATCATAAGGCGGTATTTCATACACAGTTAAAAATATTATAATGTCGTCTTCAACATTTCTATTATGTCTTCTTTTCAGATTTAAATGACATCTGATTAATTCTTGATTATCTCTCCATTCCTGACAAATTGTACATTCATCTTCTTCATCCATTGAATAACTAATAATATTATTCAATATTTTATTAGGTAAATTTAATTTATACAATTCCATATTTTCCTTTTTGAAGTGGCAACAGTTGTAGCATTTCTTATTGATATAATTATTGATTTCGGTTTCCACCATTTCTATTATAATATATATATAGTTTTTATTTCTTTAAATCCTTTTTTTACAAGAAATATTAAAATATTATTTAAATTATTATCATTTACAACTACAATTGCATCTAACACAGTAAGGAATAATATTATTCAGTTCGTGTGACAACTCGTTTGATTTACGTTGCGCTGTCAGATTTGTCATTATATTACCGTTTTTAATATCCATAGAAAAACCGCATCCGCAGTAATTACATTGATTTGTGATATTATTTAAAAACCATTGCGCATTTACATAACCTTCTTTAGGTATTGTTCTTTTGGCTTTCCTGTCTTGTTCTTTGTAATTTAATATTTTCCTTTCAAAATAACTCATAATACATTTTTGATTAAATACATCATCAATATCTTTCGTATATTTATAAAATTTGACTTTGTTTAAATCTCTACACCTTGTAATTGCAGTCCATATCCATTCTGGATAATTCTTTGCCAAAAAATGGTTATAATCAAAAATTGTTATGGTATCATCAATGCTACTGCCTTGGGCAGAATGACAAGTCGAGCAATATGCAAATATAAAATTACTTCTTATTTTATCAACTGGCAAAGACTGTAGAATTTCAGTTTTAACATTTTTCAACGTAAATATTCCATCGCTTCCAATATGAACAATTTTATATTTGAAATTTACATTAAAAACTGATGTTTTAGTTGTTGTATATTCTCTACAAATTAAAATTCTCCTACTTCATATTCATCTTTTCTATTTTCTAATTTTCTAATTTCATTTGATACATTTTTACAAGTTGTATTTAAAAATGCTATGTTGTTGATTGATTTGCTTATGTCAG